TGAGGTTAGGTAATGATGATAGAGTTACAAGATACGAGCTAGATGGTGTTGTGATTGCGAAGTCGGATTGCGAAAGGGATCTGGGAGTTATGATTAGTAAGAATTTAAAACAAAAGGATCAATGCATAAATGTTCGTAATAAGGCAAATCGGACACTTGGATTTATTAATCGCAGCGTTAGTAACAAGACACCTGGTGTGGTTCTCAAGCTATATCTTGCTCTAGTTAGGCCCCATTTAGATTATGCAGTTCAGTTTTGGTCGCCATATTATAGAATGGATATAAATTCACTTGAACGTGTCCAGCGTAGGATGACTAAGTTAATTCCCCAAATTAGAAATCTTTCATATGAAGAAAGATTAACAAAGCTTAAGTTGCATTCACTGGAAAGGCGAAGAGTTAGGGGTGACATGATAGAGGTTTACAAGTGGATGAATGGACATAACCGGGGGGATATTAGTAGGGTATTAAAAGTATCAACACAGGACAGAACACGAAACAATGGATATAAATTGGATAAGTTTAGATTTAGGAAAGACTTGGGTAAATACTGGTTCAGTAACAGGGTTGTTGATTTGTGGAACCAATTGCCGCGTAACATTGTGGAGGTGGGGTCCCTCCATTGTTTCAAGCACGGGTTGAACAAGTATATGAGTGGGATTGGGTGGTTATTGAATAGGAGCTGCCTCGTATGGGCCAATAGGCCTTCTGCAGTTACCTTTGTTCTTATGTTCTTATGTTCTTATGTTCTTATGTACTGAACCAGTATTTACCCAAGTCTTTCCTAAATCTAAAGTTATCCAATTTATACCCATTGTTTCGTGTTCTGTCTTGCGTTGATGCTTTTAATACCCTATTAATATAAGAACATAAGAACAAGGTAACTGCAGAAGGCCTATTGGCCCATACGAGGCAGCTCCTATCTATAACCACCCAATCCCACTCATATACTTGTCCAACCCGCGCTTGAAACAATTGAGGGACCCCACCTCCACCACGTTACGCAGCAATTGGTTCCACAAATCAACAACCCTGTTACTGAACCAGTATTTACCCAAGTCTTTCCTAAATCTAAACTTATCCAATTTATACCCATTGTTTCGTGTTCTGTCTTGTGTTGATATTTTTAATACCCTATTAATATCCCCCCTGTTATGTCCATTCATCCACTTGTAAACCTCTATCATGTCACCCCTAACTCTTCGCCTTTCCAGTGAATGCAACTTAAGCTTTGTTAATCTTTCTTCATATGAAAGATTTCTAATTCGGGGAATTAACTTAGTCATCCTACGTTGGACACGTTCAAGTGAATTTATATCCATTCTATAATACGGCGACCAAAACAGAACTGCACAATCTAAATGGGGCCTAATGGCCTAAAAGGATTGTGATGTTGTGTACCTTGACTTTAGCAAAGCTTTTGATACAGTGCCATAAGAACATAAGAACATAAGAACAAAGGCAACTGCAGAAGGCCTATTGGCCCATACGAGGCAGCTCCTATTCTATAACCACCCAATCCCACTCATATACTTGTCCAACCCGTGCTTGAAACAATCGAGGGACCCCACCTCCACAATGTTACGCGGCAATTGGTTCCACAAATCAACAACCCTGTTACTGAACCAGTATTTACCCAAGTCTTTCCTAAATCTAAACTTATCCAATTTATATCCATTGTTTCGTGTTCTGTCCTGTGTTGATACTTTTAATACCCTATTAATATCCCCCCGGTTATGTCCATTCATCCACTTGTAAACCTCTATCATGTCACCCCTAACTCTTCGCCTTTCCAGTGAATGCAACTTAAGCTTTGTTAATCTTTCTTCATATGAAAGATTTCTAATTTGGGGAATTAACTTAGTCATCCTACGCTGGACACGTTCAAGTGAATTTATATCCATTCTATAATATGGCGACCAAAACTGAACTGCATAATCTAAATGGGGCCTAACTAATGCCACATGAGACATTAAAAAGATAGAGGCTCATGGTATTGGGGGTGCTATATTAAGCTGGATTAGGGCATGGCTATACCAAAGGAAACAGAGTTAGTATAAATGGAGTCAAGTCAGAGTGGGAAAATGTTGTAAGTGGAGTGCCTCAAGGGTCTGTCCTGGGACCTCTGTTGTTTATAATATATATAAATGATTTAGATTCAGGTTTGAGTAGCAACATTTGCAAATTGATCTAGATAGGGTTTTGAAATGATCAAAGGATTGGCAGATGCAGTTTAATGCTGATAAATGTAAAGTTCTGAGGTTAGGTAATGATGATAGAGTTACAAGATACGAGCTAGATGGTGTTGAGATTGCGAAGTCGGATTGCGAAAGGGATCTGGGAGTTATGATTAGTAAGAATTTAAAACAAAAGGATCAATGCATAAATGTTCGTAATAAGGCAAATTGGACACTCGGATTTATTAATCGCAGCGTTAGAAACAAGACACCTGGTGTGGTTCTCAAGCTATATCTTGCTCTAGTTAGGCCCTATTTAGATTATGCAGTTCAGTTTTGGTCGCCATATTATAGAATGGATATAAATTCACTTGAACGTGTCCAGCGTAGGATGACTAAGTTAATTCCCCGAATTAGAAATCTTTCATATGAAGAAAGATTAACAAAGCTTAAGTTGCATTCACTGGAAAGGCGAAGAGTTAGGGGTGACATGATAGAGGTTTACAAGTGGATGAATGGACATAACAGGGGGGATATTAATAGGTATTAAAAATATCAACACAAGACAGAACACGAAACAATGGGTATAAATTGGATAAGTTTAGATTTAGGAAAGACTTGGGTAAATACTGGTTCAGTAACAGGGTTGTTGATTTGTGGAACCAATTGCCGCGTAATGTGGTGGAGGTGGGGTCCCTTGATTGTTTGAAGCGCGGGTTGGACAAGTATATGAGTGGGATTGGGTGGTTTTAGATAGGAGCTGCCTCGTATGGGCCAATAGGCCTACTGCAGTTACCTTTGTTCTTATGTTCTTAGTACTGTAGTTGGCCAAAGGCCCTCCTTTTTCACTGATTTCAAAAGGCTGGCAAAGTACTTATAAGAAATGGGTTTATGTTTGGCAGGAAATAATTGTCATTCATAATTTTAAGACTCAAATCATTGTATAGCACTGTTCGACTGTTACATTCTGTCAGAGGGTAAAGACTGAGGTAGCTTTCTCAGTGGGCTGCCTTACCTCGTGTAAAATAGTGACAAAAATTAGCTTCCACCAAATGATCACTAGGACACATTAATTCAGATAAGGGAAATTTCTTTGCACTATCTAATGTGGCTGGTCGTCCAATTATTCCCATCTTCAGTCTCCAATCTGGAACTATTTTATAAGCTTACTGGAACCCCCTACTTAGTTCCTCCCATTCTTTTTTGTGTGTGTTAGTACTTTTCCCTCTCTTCTTAGCTCACATTTTCCTGAGGTGTTGCCCATTCTCAGTTCAAAGTGAACCACTCCTATTGGCAGGTGTAAAATATTCAATTTCTAATCAAAACAACCTGGAATTAATGTCATTCAGAATAGCTACAAACTAAATCTGTTAAATAATGTCAGTTGTCTGAGTCTCACAAGTTTATAAAAAGGTTATAATATTTCTTCATGCCACAGTTATGGTCATAAACACATTTTGTTTTTTGTCTAGATGTGTGCAAACAAGTGATGTATATTACTGTAGAACAAAAATACTACTTCAATAATGTATATTTAATAAATTTTGAAAGAGAATTATAAACTGGCCACAGAGCCATTGACTGCACACTTATGCAATATGTAAAAGTTCATTCAAATTTTTGGTTTGCAAGACGCCTCTTTATCAAGACGAGATTATTGTGACTCCTCGTCTGCATTTGATTTGCAAGGTTTTATTTTTAGCATTTTTTTTTTTTTTTTTTTTTTTTTTTTTTTTTTTTTTTTGAGATATATACAAGAGTTGTTACATTCTTGTACAGCCACTATTACGCGTAGCGTTTCGGGCAAGTCCTTAATCCTATGGTCCCTGGAATACGATCCCCTGCCGCGAAGAATCGTTTTTTCATCCAAGTACACATTTTACTGTTGCGTTAAACAGAGGCTACAGTTAAGGAATTGCGCCCAGTAAATCCTCCCCGGCCAGGATACGAACCCATGACTTAGCGCTCGCGGAACGCCAGGCGAGTGTCTTGCCACTACACCACGGAGACTGCCAAAATGCATCAAAATGATGCAAAAAGTATGGTTCAGGAGCCAATTTTTGCCACATTTAAAATTGCAAGAAGCTAATTAATGCCAACAGAATGCAAAGCAAACATAGTGGACAACGCTTATTAGCATTATCGAAATGTGTTAAATTGATCACATCGTCTTTAACGGTCATTTTACTGATGTGACTGACATGAGCTTGAGGTGTTGCTCTTAGGGGGGTCTGCTGTATTATTCTCAAACTGCTTTTCTACAATGCTCCAGACTCTTTGTGTACTAATGTTTTTTCTGATTAGTTCGTTTCTCTCGATTTCTATTCCATGTTTCATCCATGACGCCTTGACTGTAAATTTTGCATATCTGCATTTTCCAGCCCAAGCTGTGTCAAAGTGGTACTTTAAAGTGAAATGAAAAAAGACATTTTGAGTTTGCTATAGCATTAATGTGCAGTTCGAGCAACACTATAGTATTAATGTGCAGTTCGAGCAATGCTATATCATTAATGTGCAGTTTGAGCAATGCTATAGCATTTATGTGCTATTTGAGAAATGCTATAGCATTAATGTGCAGTTTGTGCAATGCTATAGCATTAATGTGCAGTTCGAGCAATGCTATAGCATTAATGTGCAGTTCGAGCAATGCTATTACATTAATGTACAGTACAAGGTAAAAACTAAATGGTTGATCAAGTAATATTGAAAACGATACCAAGCAGCACAAATTAATGGAGTTGGATCACACACCTGTCAACACCAAACATAAGACAACTACACACCCGACAACACCAAACATAAGACAGCTCAGCTAATCCTCACCTTCAGTGCAAATAGCTGTCTTCTTTGTTCTTTGGACATCTTTGGAGAATCTGACAGTCTGTCTTCCCTTACTTCCCGGTCACTCCTGTTCCCACCTCGCCGGTGTCGGTCCCTGTCTCGGTCTCGGTCCCGATCGGGGGAGCGTCTGCGTCGATCATAATAGGTATCCCGCCTGTTGTACCTTTGCGAAAAGAGAATACCAAATCTATATAAATGTTAATAAGGTAGAAATTCAAAAGTACTTATGATTTAACACATTTGTATTTCAATGCAGCTCAAATAAGACTAAAAAAGAAAACAAAGCTTGGCAAGTAGAAGATAAAAGAAGCTGCTCAAAATGAATGCAGACTTGTCAGTGACACCTGAGGACCACCTACACAAGGCAGCATGGTAGGCATACAGTACCAGCTCCCACTATAACCTTAGCACCCACAGCCCGGCAACATGCTACCAAGTTTAAACATCTTTTTTTAAAAGATTATTTAAAGCAGCAAAAAAAGTCTGAAGTAAAAAGTAAGTAACAATATAACCCCATTAAGCAAGAAGCCGTTAATGAAAATAATAGTTACTACGCTAAAATTCTGCCCCCCCCCCCCCCCACCCCATGATATTGTTTATACATATTTCTAATGTGCAGAGAAGCATAATCATCTACATAATCATATCTAATCTACATTGTGAACTGTATCTACCATTGTGTAGGGCTAATATTGTGAGCTGTATATACCACTGTGCATGTCCAATATTGTAAGGTCCATCTACCCCTTTGTATGTCCAATACTGTAAAGTGTATCTACCACTATGTCCAATATTGGGGGATGTATCTACCAATGTGTATGTTCAATATTGAGAGATGTATCTACCATTGTGTATGCCCATTATTGAGAGATGTATCTACCACTATGTCCAATATTGGGGGGTGTATCTAGCAATGTGTATGTTCAATATTGAGAGATGTATCTACCATTGTGTATGCCCATTATTGAGAGATGAATCTACCATTGTGTATGCCCATTATTGAGAGATGAATCTACCATTGTGTATGCCCATTATTGAGAGATGTATCTACCATTGGGTATGCCCATTATTGAGAGATGAATCTACCATTGTGTATGCTCATTATTGAGAGATGTATCTACCACTATGTCCAATATCGTGAGTTTTATAATTATTACTGGGCACTACAGAAGCAGTCTCTAAGCCCCCCTCATATTTACATCTTTGACGAACATAAGAGATAGGTCTGAATCCATAAGACGAAATACAAAATTAATAAGCATCTTACCTATCTTTATCCCGTCTATCAAGATCATCATCTTGTTCTCTGTCAAGGTATTCCTTGTAGCCTCTGTCAACCTCACGCTCGTGCTCTTTCATCAGCTCGATGCGTTCCTTCTTGGGAATGCGGAAGAACTCTTTCAGGTTTTTCCACAAGTCTAATAGCTTCAGTGCCAATGCAACCATAGTCCTATGTAGTTCCAATGTTTCTTGGGCCTCCTTTTCTTTATTTAGCAACTTCTGGTCTACCACCGCTTTGTCGTCCTCTCCTGGTTCCACTGCCGATCTCTTCCCATTCTCTTTCCTGCGAAGTGTAGGGTTCTCTTTCCCATCACTCTGACTGGAGTCGCTGCTCTCCTCTTCAGCCATGGTACCTTCCACCATTTTATTGGCATTTAATGATGGTTGTTCCACTTCTGAGTCAAGACTACTGTCATCTGCACTTGATCCCTCAATACAGTTTGGAATAGCTTTGGTTTCCATCTCACTGTCAGACTCTTCACTGGTGTCACTGCAAATGATAAGCACATTTAAAAAATATTTATCATACAATTAAATATTTTGTAGAGTAACATTTACAGTATTGAGCATCAGCTTTGTCAGAAATATGGCAGTTAATAAACATCTGGGATATAATAACCCTTTTGCTGTAGCACTTCCATCTAAAGTAAGAAAATTACTTGCTAGTAATATGAAAGTTAATCCGAAGTGTAGTAGGTGTTGAATCTACAAGAAGTGGATCAGTGTGGATATGAACAGATGTGTGTTTTATCTTAGTACTCTACTTTCTTTTTTACTACCTTTAACCTTCTTTCCTACATTGCTCACCTATTTTCATTCATGCTAGTGCTTCCCCACACCATAAGCAAAGTGCATTCATACATTCAATGGCAACTCACATCTACAATGTATTTATATTAAAACAAATTTTATACAAGTCCAAACAAAATTGTATTACTCTATTATCTTGAAAGCATTAAGTTTTCCTAATGGTTTAAAGCAATAAATACAAAACAACAAATCACATTAAGTACTGGCAGAATTAGCACACAAATTTCTAACCTTGCTTTCTTGTTGGACTCTGAGTCTGAGGATAGAGAGGTGGTACTCAGGTCAGACTTGGGTGGAGGGGGTGGTGGTGGGGACTGTGTGGAGGAAGTGTCGAACACCTGGATGCTCCAGCGCTCTACAAGTGCCAACACTCTGCTGTCTGTGAGCTGGGTCTTGTTGGTGATGGGTAAGCATTCCAACGTCTTTAGAATCTATAAATGAGCACAGTGATTAAATAAACAATGAACTTGGGAGAAGATACATTATAAAGTACATGACACACAAGCAGAGGGTAATACCTGGAGGAATCTTTCATCACCTTATAGTGTTATGAATGAAATGATTCAAAATAATAATGGGATGGTGAATGGGAAAATCCAAAAAGAAAATTGGAGTGTGTCAGAATATAATCAATCAAGCAGAAATATTGAATGATGAATGAAATGAAATGCCTCTCTCTCTAGCACTCCAAAGTTTATGCACTTATATTCTTGAAAATTGTATACACGAACATTGATGGAGTCAGATAATAATATCTGACTAATAACTAATAATCATAAGTGGACACATTCCACCGCCATGCAACACATTTACGAAGGAGGATCTGGATAATAAATGAGAGGGCCTCATAACAATAATGAGAGAGATTATAGCAGGAGCAGATAAGGATAGATCATGACTGTTGGTGGTCGGCGACTTCAACTTGAAATCCATAGACTGGGAGCCATATGAAGCCAGAACAGAGGACTTCTAGACCTGTAGATTCATAAACCTCATCTTGGAGACATTTATATATCAACACGTTAAACAAGCTACAAGGATGAGGGGAATGTTGGATGTTCCCTCCATGCTGGAATTGATATTCACCAGGAAAAAGAAGAGATATTTGACATTCAGTACCTTCCTTCCTTAGGCAAAAGTGACCATGTTTTTTTAGGAATAAAGTATGCAATGCGTTATAATCTGGAAGAGAATGAGGAAGTTGAAGCAGTTGAAAAACATGATTTCAGGAGAGGACATTATGGGAAACTTATAAATTTCTTTAAGGAATTTGACTGGAAACATGATGATAGGCATGGAAGTAAATGAGATGCATGTCAAGTTTTGTGAAATACATGATAAAGGCAGAAAAAAATTCATACCAAAACAGAGTCTATGCAGAGTTAAGAAACAATCTTGAGTCAACAGAAATTGCAAGAGGGCCAGAGACCAAAAGACACAAAAATGGAATCAATATAGGAAGAAGATAAACCCCCAAACATACCAGCGATACAAAGAAGTGCGAAACAACTACATGTCGGTGAAGAGAGAGAGGCAGAAAACTTGTTGAAAAAAGGATAGCAGACAAATGTAAAACAGAACCAGGCCTATTCTATAAATTCATCAAAAGCAAATTGCAGGTAAAGGATATTCAGAGGTTAAAAATGGGAAACATACTGACCAAAAATGAAAAGGAAATGTGTCAAACATTAAACGAACTGCCCCATAGTGTATTTGTGCAAAATTAAATCTTCAGAGAACCAGACACAATAAGAATTCCAAATAACAACATAGAGCCCATTAAAAAACCTGAAATACTCTAACCAAATACCCACTGCAATACTTTAACCACTTTATCAACTAGAAACAAGCTACCATAAACGTAATTCATTACGCTAAATTTTATAAATATCCCTATAAATACACATTGTACTTATGAAAAATATAATTTAAAATATATTTATGCATAGAAAGATTTGTTAGTCAAATAAATATAAATATGTTGCATTTTCAAAGACAGGAAGAAAATGTTTACAACCTAAATCAACTTCCCTCTAAGGAGTGTTTGCATAAACAGAATTTATTAATGAAAGTTTAATACAGTCATTAAAATATGTGAATCATAATGTTGTACTATACATTCATATTCCATTCTATACAATGATGTAGTATAGATATTTATATCATTCAATACAATGATATTTCCATGCTGATTAGACATGAAATGCTCATATATTTACTTTCATGAAGTACTTCAAATCAACACATTAAAACACATTAGAAAACAATTTTGCAATTAATTACAGCACAAAATTCTTACAACAGTGTACTGTACAGTCTCACTATGAGGTACACAAACAGAGTACTCACCTCAATTTTTAGTGCTATATGTTCTTGAGTGTTTCCTAGGTCTGCCATCCAAGACCAAAGAACCTTTAACCCATGATAGTCAAGGAACAGTCTCCTGCACGCTGGCTCCCCAGTCTGAAGCAACTGTAATAGCATGACTCGAGAGCCGAAGTCTTCAACACGGACCATCAATCGTGACAGGTTCAGCGTGTCTTGCCGATTTCTCAATCTGTGAGTGTTCAGCTTTTCTATCTCGTCTCCCAGCTGAAATAAAGACAAAATTTAAAACTCCGAAGCACAAAATACAAGACATGTTGTTCACATCCGGTCTCTTATAAACATTTCATATCCCGTACTACACAGTATAAGGAAACAAATTGAATCACCACCTTAATACTTCCATTGACTTACATCAATATCCTCAAAGTAGGACCTTTTTTCTTCCCTCTTCCTCCTATCTCTTTCCTCTTTCCTCCTTTCCTCATCTTTCTCTTCCTTGGTTTTCTCATCTGGAGATTCCCCCAGCCATCCTCGACACAAAGGAGTGCCACAAAAACACCTCTGTGGCTCTCGCCTAGAATATGATGCAAGCACATTTAATGGGAGTCAATGTATGGGAAGAATGAGTAAAAAGATTCCACGGGCTCATTAAAAGAATAGCAATTCATATAACAATATTAATGTAAGATATCTGAACAAAATAGATCCCAACTGTGTATATGAGCAACTATATACATTAGCACCAACTGTGTATATGAGCAACTATATACATTAGCACCAACTGTGTATATGTGCAACTATATACATTAGCACCAACTGTGTATATGTGCAACTATATACATTAGCACCAACTGTGTATATGTGCAACTATATACATTAGCACCAACTGTGTATATGTACAACTATATACATTAGCACCAACTGTGTATATGAGCATATATACATTAGCACCAACTGTGTATATGTGCAACTATATACATTAGCACCAACTGTGTACATGCACCAACTATGAAGCTGCCTTAACATTAGCACCAACTGTGTATATGAGCAACTATATACATTAGCACCAACTGTGTACATGTTTGAAGCTGCCTTAAGTACTCCAGTAATAACTAAAGAGGTATAACTAAAGACGGGATCAAGTGAACATCTTGACACACGACACTACAGACTTACCCATATCGCTCAAGTCGATAGTCAAAATTGATCTCTTCACCAGCATCTATGAACTTTTTGGTGAAGAAACCAATTCTCAGTTCTCCATTTACAGTCCACTATAGAAAACAACACAACAAATTATTAGACAATATGAAAAATTATATGTACTTAAAACCTAGTTGTTTAGCTACATTTTGATAATTCACTTTTAATAAATTTACAACTTTTTACAACTTAATTTTATTAAAATACTTATGTTCTGAAGGCTTAATATCAAAGAAATATAAATCTGAAAATATATTGAAAGGGAGACTGGATTTGGCACCCTTAAACATTTGTGTTGGAACACTATAGTTCATATACAACATAAATATTAGGCATGTTGTAATCACGGGAGGAATCCTAAGTCACCATGCCTGGCATTCCAAAACACACACTACACTACAGTGTTGACCAGACCACACACTAGAAGGTGAAGGGACGACGACGTTTCGGTGCATCCTGGACCATTCTCAAGTCGATTGAGTACGATTGATTGATTGCCTACAGTACAGTATTTTGAATATTCTTAAAATTCAAAATTACCACTCACCTGCCCCCCAATCTATATACAGTATATGTTTATGTACATAATGAAGGAGAGAAAGTGAACGGTGGTGGGTGGAGTGGGAAGAGACTCCAGTGGTAGGGTAGCAGGTGGAGTGAGTGCTTATCACATTAGGGAGAAAGTGACAGCAAACAAAATTATAAAAACTAAATTTCCTGACATTCTACTCAATTTGTGCACTATTTGGTTTTAAAGTTGTGTTGAGGTGGCAGCCATGATTTTTGTTTTCATTGCAATCCACTTTTATTGCAATGTTTCATTAGCTCTCTGGTGTGTATTCACCTAGTTGTACTTGCAGGGGTTGAGCTCTGTTCTTTTGGCATGCCTCTCAACTGTCAACTGTGATCTTGTTGGTCTAGGGTAATTCTTGAAATTTTTTACTGTATATGTACAATTCTATTATATTCTGCCTCGAATTTGGAAGGTTGAAGTCTCCTGGGAGGATAATATTTGATACTGGGTTTAATAGTCAGTTCTTATTATTTCCTATCTGCTCAGCGAATTTTGAAACTGCTGTATCTAGGGGTTAATTTACAAGGTTTAACTTTCCATTTTAAATCCTATGGTTCAACCACATAATTTCAGGATCAAAGACTCCTGTGATTCTTTTAACATACAGACGTACTCCTTCAGACCTCCTATTTACTATTTGCACTCCAAATTTCACTATCCAAGTAAGTCAAGTATGGATTTCTGGGGAGGTGGCATTGGGTTGCGCTGTTCAGTAACAAAATCCATAGGGTATTAATTTTGTTCAGAAAACTGGCCCTAGCTGAAGATTTTAGTCCTTTGGAGTATTTTATTACAGTGCACAATTACAACCTCACCATTTCATAAACTGCAAAATAGTTTACATACCTTTTGTGTCTCTGCATTAGGATCGCAGGAATGATTGATAAACCGTGAAATGTTTCCCTTGCGCGTTGCGTCGATGAGCTGATCTGACTTGAGAGCCATAAAGTAGAAATGTGCATTGAGTTCACGAGCATATTCCTTCCTTCGTTTTTTGAACTCCTTGGTGTCGAATACCTCTCCGACATATTCCATTATGAAGCTCCCCCTGAATAAGAGAAGAGAAAGCAAGTTAAAATACCTTGTATCTGATCCAACCCTCTTAAATCTACTTGCACCTTCACACGGGAATACAGTTATACTCATGTTATTCCATCTTCATTGAAAATACTGCACCAGCATTTATAAATCAAATGAAGAAAGGACATCACAAGAATAGCTCTGCTCCTCTAACCACAAATACTGTAGGCAGTCAATAAAAAAAAAACTTATGTAATGCTACTTTGCTCCTCATCACAAACTTTAATATATAGTACAGGTGCTAAATGTCTCTAACACACATGAGAAAGAATTATGAATTCTTTTTTATTAGAAAAAAAAAGTGTACCTACAGTATTAGGAGTACAATACTGAACATTTACATCCTATAGACTTCATTTTATATACAATATGCATAAAACTATATATTAATTATAAGCGAGACTACCAAGCTACTTCTACTTCTGGCATCAAATTACATGTTATATACACGTATATTATGGTGCAGTTATATACACTTGATTTGTTCTTTTTTACCTTCCCCATCAATGGTGAACTACATTTATTTCTTAAATCTGCTACCAAGGATTACAATGGTCCAGTGATAAGATGGGACCATTCTAACACCATCATGTGTAAGTATTGCAACTTACAAGAGCTAAGTGAAGGTGTTATCCACACATCACATGCTCCCAAATGAACAACAGGCAAATAAACAACAAAGGTATCCCTGCCAGGGATCCCTAATTAATCTGACAATTTATCTAATATATAATTAACAATTAATTTATATGAGAAGTGTTGACTGGGTTGGCATGTGATTTGCGGCATGTGACAATGCAGGCAAGTGGGGATGGGTGGGTGTGGGATGGGTGGGTGTGGGATGGGAAGTGGTTGGCAGTATTTGGGGTGAGTGGGTCGAGTGCACAAGGTGAGTGGAGTATTGGTGTTGAAGGTTGGGAAATCAGGTTGGGGGAAGGGGGGGGGCAGTGTTGGGAGTTCAAACTGCATGGTTATGACAGGGTTGGAACATAGCGTGGAGGTATTATCGAATGTGAGAACTACTGTAATAATAATTCAAAATCCAAATAATAAAATAGCAAAAAGAAGCCAAATCTTATTATCATACACAATGCTTAAGACTTCAAGTCAGTATAATGAGGCATTATCTAGATATAGAACAAATAAATAACATGTTTGAAATGAGGGTAACAGAGAGGTAAGCTACCAGCTTAACTCAGGATATGGTAGTAAAATAATTATCTTCATGGCCTCCACTGTTGTCAAACCTAATATACAACTGTATTGGATGGTTATATGTGATGCTTTTATTTTCTTGAAGCTCCAGTGCAGCTATAGCAGTAAAATTAGTCCCCAACCCCCTTCATTCATATACAGGTACTTCCTATATGTTGAACCCGGAACCCTCAGAGTGCTTTCTCTGCCACTCGTCAGTTCAGTCTCTGCTATTGTGGCGATGACGATGTTTTTCTGCCACACTTTCCAAGAACGCTACCCCCCATCATATGAAAAGCCATCTGCATTCATGCATGTAACATTGGTTTCACTTTAAGGCATTGAACAACCAGAGAGATAGAACTGAGATAAAGTTGGTAACAGGAGAAAAAACATTAGAGGATAAAGAAGAGGGGACCACAGGAGGGTTATAAACTATCTGCACAATGCTCAGTGGGAGATTGAAATGGAAGAAAACTCAGCAAATGAGATGATGGAACTCATAACACAGAAATGCAAAGAAGCAGTTCATCCCTCTTCGGAGAGAAGTGCCAAACCCATGGTTCAAGTAACAAAGAAATGGAGAAGTAAAAAATAGGCATGAAAAAGCATAGGGTAATTGGTACAGAGGCAAAAAGGAGGGTACTAAAGAGGGTGTGGAATAAATACACCAGAATTGAGAAGGCAGCAGAGCACCAGTTTGAGAATGACACTGCAGCAAAAGCCAAGGCCAACCAAAGCCGTTGTGCAGTCATATATATATATATATATAGAAGGAAAACAACAGTAAAAGACCATGTGATTAGACAGCAGGGACAGGGAGGATTATTCTTACGGTGACAAAGAAGTATGCGAAGAACTCAACAAAAGGTTCCAGGAGGTCTTTAAACCAGATTGGTGTCCAAGTAGGGGAGACAGCAGATGACCAGAAACACTAAGACAGAATTGAAGATAAAGTAGAAGTAAAAACATACCTGGAGGAACTGGATGTAACAAAAGTACCAAAGGGACCAGACCAGGTATCACCATGGTTACTGAAGGAAGCTGCACAGACTTTGTCTTACCCATTAACAATAGTGTTTAACATTACACTTGAGATAGGAGAACTACCAGAAATCTGGAAAAAGGCAAATGTAACTCCGATATTCAAGAAAGGGAACAGACATGAAGCACTAGACAATAGACTAGTTCATTAACATGCATTCTATGCAAAATTGTAGAAAAATGCATGAGAAAAGGCATTGTAAAATATTTGGGCAGAGTAAATTTGATAAAAGATGTACAACATGGCTTCAGAGATGGAAAATCATGCTTAACAAACCTGCCCGAATTCTATGACAGGTCACCAAAGTAAGACTCAAGGAACAATGGGTAGACTGCATCTTTCTAGACTTCCAAAAAACTTTTCATACAGTTCCACAAAAGAGACCAATACAAAAGATTAAGAGACACGTGGGGACAACAGGAAAGGCACTGGACTGGGTACGGGAGTATTGTACTTGATGGACAGGAAACAAAAGGTCTAAATCAAGAAAGGATGTGTCAGGCTGGAGGGAAGTGGAGAGTGGTGTTCCACAGGGCTCTGTCCTAGGACCATTGCTCTTTTCTAATTTGTGCAAATGACCTCACAGAGGGAATGAGCTCGTACATATCGACGATTGAAAATGATGCAAAGTTAATGAAGAGAGTTAGAACAAAAGAGGACTGCAGGGTGCTGCAAAAAGACCTTGACAAACTTCACGAGTGAATAGATGGGATTCAATGCAAGGAAGCAGAAAAGTAATGACAATGGGTCAAGATTACAGGAGACCTGTATTTAATTATACCATATGGGAAAGGCAATCACAAGATAAAATAAAAGAAAAAGACCTGGGGTATATATAATACTGTACCAACACTAACACCAGGATGCTCATGTGAACACAATAATATCAGCAGCATATGGGAAGTTAGCAAACTTAATAATAATATAATTTAACAATCTAAACAAGGAAGCTTTCAGGTGCATGCACACTGCCTATGTGAGACCATTACTTGAATATGCAGCTCCAGCATGGAACCCACACCTTGTGAAGCTTGAGAAAAACAGAACCCGAAGAAAAGTTCAGAAGTTTGCTACTAGATTAGTACCCAAATTGAGAGGCCTCAGCTATGAGGACAGGTTGGGAGAACCTCACAACCATAGGGGAGAGAAGAAACCATGGGGATATGACAACTACATACAAGATCTAGAGGAAAATAAAGTCGATAAAAGAAGCCTATTTAAACTAACACGAGGTAGGATGAGGGGACAGCTAAACAAACCAAGTTCAAGAGATGTAAACAAATTCTTGTTCCCTGTATGGGTGGTCAGCAAATGGAATGCACTGAAGGACGAGCTTGGTGAATTGTTCAATCCACAGCTTTAACAAGAAATATGCTGAAAAACATTAATGTTGAGTGAAGTAATTAGTGTGCCAGGTATAAATGGCTGGGAGGCAGGGCATAAAGAGCTAGATATCATTCCCTTGTAGTCATTGATAAGTGTACACACACACACACACAGCTGTCACACAAGCAACACACACAAGAAATGACAAACAAGAAACGGATGTTAGGCAAGCAATTAGGAAAGAGCTGGTAACCAACAGTAAACTAGTACAAAACACTGTAGATAGAAGTAAGTCCATAATAGTTTTTGGATGTGTAGAGAAGGAAATTCCATCTAGGGTGGACCGAGCAGCAGAAGAGATGAAGATCATAGAAAAAATAGTAGGAATAGGAGAAGGCCTAAACTCAAAGGAGCATGTCAGTGATTTTAGGAGGATAGGAAAATATGAGAAAGACATGAACCGCCCCTTAAGGGTGACGTTTAATGGAGTGAAGTGCTTCGGAATACCAGAAAACTGCAATGTGATGAGGAGGGCAAAATTTGGTCAATAAGACAAGACCTCTCAAAAGAGGACAGAGAAAAGCTGAAAATGAACCTCACTGAAGCCAAACGTCTAAATGGGGATAGAAATGAAGGAGAGAAATTCTTTTTTCTACAAAGTGTCAGGGACTGGAAAGCTTGTGAAATGGTACATAAAGACAAAGCAACAAAATCATTAAAGGAAAGAGGTGTAAAGAAAAAAGGGAAGGGGAACATGTTCCTAAAAATAGTATATACCAATATAGATGGAGTGAGATCGAAAGTATTGGAGTTGAAAGATATAATCAAGCTCAAAGTCCCAGATATTGTCGCATCAACAGAGACTAAACTTTAAGAAAATATTTTAAATGAGGTCATGTTCCCAAGGGGCTACTCAGTTTGGAGACGTGACAGGAAAACTAAGAAAGGGGGGAGGAGTGGCTGTGCTGGTGAAAGAAAACTTGAAGGTAAGAGAATTAATGTTTGAAAACCCTCGAGATATTGACATAATGGCATTGCAGCTCTGTAATCAAGATGATAAGCTGATAATTTTAAATGCCTACAGCCCACCAGCAAGCAACACATGGACAAAGGAAGAACTGGATGACAAACGAGAGGGCCTCATAATGGTCATGAGAGAGATTATGGTAAGAGCTGACAAAGATAAATCCCGATTGTTGGTACTGGGGGACTTTAACTTTAAGAACTGAGAGGCCTACGAGGCAAGAACAGAGGACATTTGGACAGGCAGATTTGTAAACCTCATCTTGGAGACATTCATGTATCAACACATCAAGCAGGCCACAAGAATGAGGGAAGGGGATGTTCCGTCAGTACTGGATCTAGTATTCACCAGGAAAGAAGAGGAGGTATTTGACATCCAT